GGTGCTGTGAGTGGGCCAACCGAAATTGCGCATAAATGCGGCTAATTGCATTAGGAAACAATGTTGCCAATAAGCATTTGACAGACATCAAAGCACCCGACAAGTTTTCCCACTCAATTCAAATTCAATGCATATTGATGAGCTCAGCTTGGAGCGAAAAGCAAAAAGCGAGCTAATCTGCTAGTGGGAAGTTATGCACACCCAAAAAAGAGTTTTCAATTTAAGTATTTGCGTTATTTATTTATTTTTCGACTGTAGCTTACTTTGAAAAACCTTGTAGTAGAATTGGATAGAACTGAACCTTATGTCGCGTTTTTTTATAGTAAAAGCTTATTCTATCGTTATGAATACAATATGCTTTAAAATATCGCAGTAGCAGCAAACAATCAATCAATAAATTTCTCATGTTAACACTCTGGAAGTGAATTAAATTTTCATATAAATAAATTAATAAAATTCTGCACATAAATATGGCTTTCAATCTTTGACGAACTTTATTGTATAGCGCTCCACTTTTATATTTCAAACGTTTAATTATTTTTCATGACGATACTTAAATTTTACCAGCGAATACCCACTTGAAATTGATATTTTTTTGTGTGTGACAGAAAGCGGTGAAAGCTGCGACCTTTTATGACCATCCATTGGGAAATGGAATGCATGGCAGTTGACCTCAGATGCCGGCAACGGGATCTTTATGCATTTCATTTATCTAAATCCTGCCAGCCTTGGCCGTTCAACTCAACTTACCTCGACATTTTATGAGCTGGAAGTTGGTTTCGCTCCGTGGCAGCATAAATTATACCGCATACATTTGTTTGGCGAGAGTTTTCGGATTTTTTTATTCGCTGAAGCGATGGCCTTGAGTGCGGGAAATGCAAACTACCATGTCGAAACAAAAAGCAGCTGCAGCAAACCAGCCAGCGAGAAAATCGAAATGGGGTGGGAAAATGGTTGAAAACTTAAAGATGCATCTGCAGAAAGAAACAAGGTCACTGGTTACCAAAAAAAAAGGGAGAGCTTTAAGAAACCTTTCTGTTTTTAGCAATAGAAACCCATGACTTTAATTCTAATTAAATTTCAATTTTGGGCATTATCCAAAGTTATCTCAGTCGCAAAGGACAGAAAGTTTCCACAAGGCAGCCCTACAAAATACGTACAAAATACTTGTAATCCCAATTTGCATAAATATTTATGCTGATGGCGCTTAAATTGCTAGCCCCCCACACCATTTGTGTTAATGCGTCTTAATCTTTAATGAGCCAAGTTTCGCGATTCGCGGTTCGGATCGGTTCTCGTTGGGTTTGGCCGTGCCTCTGGGCTTGGGTTCGGTTATGGCCTCCGGAGTGGAGTACGTGTAACCAGACATCATGACCCCGTGACGGGCCAAATGGCTCTGGAAGTGGCTTTCGCCATTGTGCACTACTTTGGCCAAGATAGAAACGATGAGATCTAATTATAAAGATAAACTGTTATGCTTCCTGCTTCCGTGTATGTGGCGAGCATTTAAATGGCTAACAAATCTCCGGCAGACAGATGCCAAATACCTTTCGATGTGCCAGGAATTTCTAATCGTACATTGGTGTTTATTTTGTAAAATGCAAAGACCATTTTGCAAAATGATTTCAGGAAAAATGTTGTCAATTTATCTTAAACTTTAAATTGGTTCTGCACATTTCAGTTTACTCGTTGGTTACATTCATAAACTTTGTTTTAAAGCTTAAATAAAAATTATACTTCCATTTCCGTTTAAGGAACATAATAAATTTATTAAAATTTATCTCACAATTTATTATTATTAACTCTTGATAGCCCCAATCCTTAATTTGTACTGGTAACACTTTGATGTTGTAGAGAAAAATTATGTATACAATTATGTATTTTTTTACATTCTCTATTTTTAAATCACCTGAGAGTTCCCTTTAGCACTTGTGAGCTCAATCCGAGTCTGCTTCCCTAAAATTAAATTAAAGCACAATTAAATGGTCCAGAATGTGCTGCTTAATCCACCGAGTGCCCCGCTTTTCCCCGCAGCTAATTTAACCACCGGGCTCAAAGCGCACTTTGCTGACAGCCAAATCCACACGAGAGATAACAAAGCGAACCGAAGCAAAGGCAACTTCCAATGGCAACTCACTCCCTCGAGATTCACGGTACTTATTTTAATTGCCCGACATTTTTCAGAAACTTTTTGCTCGCTCACAACGGCACGCACACTCATTCGCGTATGTTTCGTATGCTTTTAGGGGCATTTGCAGTTCGCAGCTAAATCGACTGATTTAGAAGTTTATTGCATTCTGGCATCTTGGGGAAATGGAGGCGGCCACGAAGGTATTTAAAGGCTCCTCTGCGTGTGCCGTGCCGGGAACTCCACTTCATTTGTGTCTCGGCCGTCGCCGGTTGGCAATATAAATGGACTTCCGTGCATAAAGCGGATAATGCCGGGACAAGCGGCCAGACAAAGCGCCACTTCAAATTGTGCTTGAATTTATTGGCCTGCATTTAAATGGCCGACAATTGCGAACGCCTTGCTGCGACTCCATTCTGTCATAAATGCACTGCGAAAACATATATCCCTTTTAAAATAGAATGGTGCCCATATAACAACCATTTTAAGTTAACTGCATCAAGAATGAATGAGAATCAGGAAAATTACTAGGTAACTAAAAACACCTTAACTAAACCATTAATAGTAAAAATAATAAAAATTATCAAACAAGTTATTTAAGCAGCTAATTAAAGCTAAATTTTATAGAAAAAAATAAACACACTATGAAAATCAATCTCTACAAAAACATTTAAATTTTGATAAATTAAGATCGAAAAAATATCTTTTTAATTTATTAACTTTTTATAAGAGAACAAAATAACTTAAATACAATTTTAATCTTAGTGTATCACCGATACATTTTTTTAAAAAATATATATAGACTTAAGTTAATAATAATGATATATTTTCTTTTGACTGCATTTAAGAAATATCCACGCAAAGTGCCACGCAAAATGAAAACCACAAATGTGCGGCAACTGGTAGCCGTTGTCCTTGACCATCGCATGAATAATTGCGCAGGACTCGGATTGGCTGTTGTCCTTGCGACAATGCGTACAATTAAGCAAAGCCGCAAAAATCACACAATTTATGCAGCAGGCGCAGCATATTAATGGCTGCTTATTGAGACGACAACATGGAATGTAACGAAATTTGCATTAAAACTGATTTATGCATTTGTCGTTGTGGTCGTTATTGCCGCTGTTGTGACTCTTGTTTCGGGTTGCTAGTCCTGCCGACTGATGCTGCGCAAACACATAGGAAATTTGCATAAATTTTGCGCAACCAAATGGCAGTTTTATGATGTACTTTTGGTGGGCACCAAAACGGTGTCATAAAGTTTCAGGGTTGTATTTCGGGAAGAAGAACAAAAAACAACAGCTGCCTTCCAACAATTCCATCATCCTCATCAACAATTAATAAGCCAAGAATATATTTTAGTATTAACTTTAAAAAGCTTTTCAAAATTTTTTTATTTTATTTAAAATAGATAGCAGACTAAATTCAAAAAGATTGACACAAAAGAAAAGATATATTAAAAACTTATTCAATGCAAATAATTATTTAATACAATATTGTACAATATTAAACAGTTGTTGCCCTGTCGAATACAACAAAGATTATTTTCTTTATTATTTTGTATGCCATGAAATTACCATTAGTGTTGATGACAATTGATTTAATAACTGCTTTATCTGTCAAAACAATTTATCCACCGCAGGCACCGTTTAAATGTTTATTAACTACCAAAAGGCGTGGCATAAAATCGTTTTTTAACTTTGAAATGATTTTCACCAAACGATGCCACCACCATTGTTTTGCAACGCGATTAAATTTAATTTCGCCATCAACATTCAGCTTTAATCTGCGCACATATATGTATTAACGGCTATTGAACACTGCATATGTATTGGCCGGAGAAATTAAATTTTTCGCCATAATTATTATTTATTATAATTTCCGCAGCCACTCACATGAGCAAGTTGATTCTGAGAGGCTTCGGGACGCATTGAATTTTTAATGTTACCGAAATGTAATTAACTTTTGAACGGCAACTGCCTGGGGCATGTGGCTTAAAAAGAGCTGAAAAGAAACTTTACATTTTGGCCGACCTTAAACACTGTTTAGGACATTGAAAGCTCGTTGGCTGGCATCAATATTGCATGGACGATGGCATCGATAAGAGCCGGAATAACACTCACCTTGAGTCTTGTCCGGCACACAGGGCGTATGATTGTTTTCTCGTGTCAAGACAACGTGTGTCTACACTGGCTTTCCTTTCGCTTTTCTCCTTTCGCTCTCTTCTATTTCCCCATTTCTCGTGTTCCCTGTTAATGGCTTTAATGCGATTACACGACATCAGCCCTCTGCGCTCGCATTATGACTTCCTTGCTGAAATGTGAGTTTCACTTTCACATGGCAACTTCATTAGCTTTAAAGGCCATTAAAGCATTCATCTGGGTAATGGAGGTCCTCCCCTTATAAAGCATTCATACCAGCCCAAACAAAACGGGGCCAAAATAAAAGGAAGTGAATCGTGAAAGAGAAATAAAAGCCGTGAATAAGATCGGCCAAAGAAAAAGAAAATTGCAAATTCGAGATTTAACTTCGTTGGCAAACAAAGAACATGCTATTGTATTTACACATTAAGTCCAGGAGGTTCTTAGTTTCCAATCATCGCAAAGGTAAAAAGTTTAGGGAAATTAATGCAGCCAAAAAGGTTTTCAAACGTTGAAAATATGTAAATATTTTTCATTTTAGAGAAGCATGACGTATTGATTAATTAAAATATAATTCCGACATTATTATAGTGATTATAATCTACACAAGAGATTAAAGAATCTTATTGTTAAAAATTTTATAAAATTAAGAATACATTACGTATTTTTGACGAAGAATTCTTGATGAATGAGAAAAATGACTCTTAGCTAAATTAATTTTAAGACATATATTTTCAACTAAAATATAATTTATTTTCACACTTTGAAGAACATCTAAAAACGACACTGGAGATTTAAAATATAATATAAAATGATTAATCCTCGTCGCTGTAGCGATAATAGGGGCCCGTCAGTTTTGGCTCTGGCAGATAGCCAAAATGGGTCCTCAGATACTCAAGGCCCAGAAACAGTAACACCGTGTGCGGGCATTAGTCGCGTCAAAGCGGGCGTATATCCCTTGAAGAAGGCTAGCGGACCCTCCTTTGAGGTCTTCATGAATACATCCGTCAGTCCGGAATATTCTCCGGGCGAAGCGTTCATCTGCCGGGTCTTCACAACATCAATCGGCTGCGTGAGAGTGGTGGCCACCGTGGCCGAGATGATCGATGCAAGGATATAGGTGCCCATATTCTCCGGCATGCCCACTTTCACCAGATTGGCCTTGCTCTGCTCGTAGAAGGCGATCTGCCCCACGGTCATGAACATCCCGCGCAGGGCGGTCATCGAGGCGCCGTTGAAGAGACTTCGCCAGCCCTCCTCGCGGGTGATACGCACCAGTCCATCGATGGCGTGCTTGTAGCTGCAAAGCAGGGGTAAAGATTCGATTAAACCAATCCAAATTGCAAAATTAACTTTAAAATTATGTTTAGTATTCCCCATAAATTTCCCCACAATTCAAACAATCAGTAAAATTCAGTAAAAATTTTAATTTACTATTTCCTAAATAATTTCCTCATAAATTCCTAAACAAATACCCAAAAAAATGGCTTTATTATTAAGAAAATTCTTTGGAATTAAAAAAAAAGTGTATATGAAATTTGTAAAAAATTGTTGTAAAATATAATTTCTATTTTTTAGAAAAGAAATGATAATCTAGTTTTGTTGAATATATAAATTATATTTTTCAGATTTTAACAACATTTTTGTCGACAACTTCTTTACTTTTTTTTATTCTGATGGACGTTGATGCACTACGAGCAGTACAAACAAGTGGCCCAACGACACCAAGCACGTGCTTGTTACGCGCGGGCCCTATTATCAATTTGGGCAAAAAATGCGAGTTCGCGAGGAAAATACATAAATTAAATAGAGACAAGACACAAGTGAAAATAAAAGGCACAATTAAGAGAAAAGCAAATGAGTTAAAATATTAGTTTTTAGTAATGGGATAGAAGTGGAAATGCAGATTAGATGATAAAGGTTGTTATAAGTATTACATAGAACGCGAAAGGGCTCGTGCAGACAAAAATTTGATGAACATCGTGGCAAATTTAGAGGGATATAATTTCGTGTTAGTCTAACAGGAACATTGAAAGTTAGGCGGTTTACAAGTTCTGCAGAATCAATATCACCTCTTATAAGATTATGCATAAAAATAGTACCAAGCATTTTTCTACGATTTACAAGTGTAGGTAAATTAAGCAACAGTAATCTACTCTGGTAGGAAGGTAGCCTTACGTTTTGATCCCAGTTCAAACTACGAAGGGCAAAAAGAAGAAATTTTTTTGTACCGACTCAATACGGTCAATGTGCACTTGATATTGTGGACTCCAAACCGACGAACAATATTCCAAAATAGGACGGACAAGTGAGGTAAATAATAATTTGGTCGTATAAGGGTCATTAAATTCTTTTGACCAACGCTTTATAAAGCCAAGAACACTCATGGCTTTATTAACAGTGGACATTATGTGGCAGTCAAATTTAAGTTTAGGGTCAAGAAGAACACCTAAATCGTTAACTGAATATATACGGTCGAGTGACGTATTTTCAAGAAAATAACTAATAAACGTAGGAGTACCCCTATAAAAAGTCATGACGTTGCATTTAAGGTAGTTCAACTTTAAAAGGTTGTACTCACACCATTCATGAAAACAATCAATATCTGACTGTAAGTTAAATCCCGACGCTATATCATTATATGATAAACAAAGCTTAACATCATCAGCATACATTAGAACACGAGAATGTGTTATGATAGAGGGAAGATCGTTGATAAACAAAGTAAACAGCAAAGGGCCCAGATGACTTCCCTGAGGGACTCCAGATGTCACGTAGATCAATTTTGAAACAGAATTCTTGAATATAACCCTCTGAGTCCTACCATTCAAGTAACTTGAAATCCAAGTTAATAGATTACCAGGAAACCCAAGCAGATCTAATTTGAATAAGAGAAGAGAGTGGTTGACGGAGTCAAAGGCCTTACTAAAATCTGTATATATAACGTCAGTCTGCATTTTTTTCTGAAATCCATTTATTACAATAGATGACAATTCAAGAAGGTTGGTGGTGGTCGATCTTCGCTTAACAAAACCATGCTGACACGGTGATATAAGCGAGGAACATAAATGTTGCAAATGAGAAGTGATAATACGTTCAAATTACGCTTGGCATTAACAAAGCTGAAAAACTGTTTCGGATCATTTGAAAATTCAAATTTACATCGATTTAGATACATAGAATAGCAATGACTGTTGAGAACATTAAAATCCGATCGAGCCACTACATATTTCGAAAAATCTGATGGCTTACCCGATTTTTTATACTTTTTATAAGTATTTGTTTTAAGGTTTTTAAGTCTTTGAAGCGCATTGGTAAACCAAGGAGGCCTGTTTAGTTTAAAGGAAACCTATCAGGAACGCATTCATTAAAAAAAGTATTTAACACTATATAGAATAGTTCAGTGGCACTTTCAATGTCTGTACAATTGTACAAGTCTGTCCAATTATAATGAGAAATCATATCGTTAAGTTTATTATAGTCACATTTACGAAAACATCTCGTTTTAGTTGGGGGCACTAAAGGAGAGAGGGTATCAGAGCAGGGAGGCAAATTGTCAATTCCATTGTTGGATGATATCGGTCTTCAGGTACAACAAGAGCGTCAATTCTACATACCGTGACCTCGGACGGGTCTGAAACAAACACAAGATCTAATTGTCTATTTAAAGAATTTCGTATAAAGCTTACTTGCTGTAACGATAATTCTAAAAGGCCATCTACAAAATCATGGGCGGATAAAGGTATAGCGACAAGTGAGTCAGTGGGAGGAGACCAAGAAATATCAGGTAGATTAAAGTCACCCAAAACAATCAAAAGGTCTCTGTTAGAAAGCAGGGATAGTACGGATTTTATTGCGGACAGATGGTGCTCATAAATTACTAGATCAGAGCCAGGTGGAATATAGGAACATGTAACAAAAATAGATAAAGATTGTAAAGAAACTTTCACACTTACAAATTCAATTTCGTTTGGGATATGAGTGAGAATTCTTTCGGATGTTAGGCTAGAGGTAACAGCAATCAGTACACCGCCCCCTACGTGAGGAGCGATCGGTCCTATAAGTATTAAAGTTATTTGACAGAACTTCCGAGTCAGATATCTCTGGTTTTAACCAAGTTTCCGTAAAAGCCAAAATATCTTCGGTGAATGCAGAGGAGTCGGCATAAAGCTTGTGTAGCTTCATATTTAGTCCCCTAACATTTTGATACGCCAAGAATAAACTATTTAGTTTTTTGGCACAGTGGAAGGCCTGTTATTTGTTCTCGGTTTATTTGGAACAAATTCTTTAATTACTAAATCATCATTAAGCCAAAAACTTTCAGAAAGTAGCACATTAAACACATCAGGCGGAGCAAATATTTTAAAAGACGATATCCTACGAGCGTAAGAAAATCGAAATTGTTCAACTGCAATATCCTCGGATGGGAATTTTTCACGTATGAATTCCAAAACATCCTCAGATGTGGTATCTGGGGTGAATCTAGAAACAAATAATTGCTTCCTTTGTGGAACAACTGAAAGTTTCTTACGGCCCCCACCAGCAGTCTGAACCACACTGGGCTGAGAACCAGGGACGATGTCTACTGTACCTGTAGGTACGGTCGGCAACGAATTCTTTGACTTAGCCAGTACTGTAGCTTTTATTCTGGAAACAGAGGTACTACCCGAACTAGCTGTATCCATAGGCACAGTTGGTTCATTTACCCCTGTGTCAACAGAAACTGCTGCAACCAAGTTCGGATTTGGGGTGGATTCCACAATCATATTAACGGCGGTTAAACTGGCTTTTTTACGTTTAGGCGACTCGGTTAATAATTTTTTATTATTAAACTGGGCACAGACGGAATTGAACCCCTCATTGAGTTGTTTAAAAGCTCCTGAGATATTCAATAAGCTGTCTCGAGTCTGCCTCATAAAGCCACTCATTTCAACAACCATTTCCTTGCAGGACCCACATGACCACATGAGACCAGAATTAAGATCAATAAAATCTTTGACTCTGCCAGTAAATCCTGCACATTTAACGTGCATCATCGAATCGCAGAGCCAGCAAAAAATAAAAGGGTCTTTAGTTGAAGACGCAAGTGTACAATTTTCTTAGAACAGACAAGAGCCATTGTAAGTTTAAAGCAAAATAAAAAATACGAATATGAAAAATACCTCAAAGTAAATTTGGCACTGGGATCAAATCAAAATTGTCAAAAACCACAAAACACGAAAAAAGTAAGAGCGCGAGATCACGAAATTAAGTCGAATAAAGAGAGCACGAGAGAATAAATCTTTTATCGACTGAGCGTGGCTTGTACAACACAACAACCTTAATCAATAAACAAATGCAATGTAAAGCATGCAAGAGAGAGAGAGAGAGAGAGTTAAGAAATAAACGAACAAGTCTACCAGAAGTTCATAGAGAGTAAAATTACAGTTATAAAATAGAGCGGGAGAGATTGAGAGGGAGTAAAAGAGTTTTAGCAAGTATAGAGAGCGTAAATTACACTAACAAAGCTATGAGATTAAACAAATCTAATAGAAATGTTAAAACAATTCTAAACACATACCCGTTTACTGGGAGATCTATTTAAAATTTCTAACACAGATATGTATTAAGTTAAGCTTTGTAAATAAATTAACACAAAACACTCGCACAAAATCACTGAAAAAATACAAAAACTCAGAGCACAAAGGTAAACACAACTGTTCACAAGCGACGCTAAATCGATTTTGACCAAATCGATGTATTTAAAATTTGTTTGGTTCTTCAATAAGTTCAATTAATTAAATTCAAACTTTTGTTTATTTTTCTTATCAAAATAAGAATCACTCACTTGCGTCTCTTCTCCGGCGGAAGCTTGACATCGTTTTGTAGGCGGACGTTGATAAGATCCGCAGGAGCGCCCACATAGCCCCCAATTCCTCCGGCCACAGCCGCCAGGAGTGTTTTACGGCCCATGGTGCTGGTGTCCATCATGCCCGATCCCACCGAGTAAATGCCAAAACGGGATAGAGTATAAGTGTATTGACGAAGCATCGAGGCCGAGATGCCATTGTACATGGCCAAAACGCCTTGTTCCCGGATAATCTTGCGCGTAGTCTGACCCAATGATAATTTCTCCGCCTGCGTCTGGATGAGCACCTTCATCAGATCGAGTGGATGCGTCACCATGGCGGCCATAGAACTAGCCACTCCTCCAAAGTACCAGCGAGCAATGCGCCGCTGGTTATAGGACATCAATCCACCTTTCCTGATCGACATCTTGTCGGTTTTGAAAGTTCACTTTTTACACTAAATTTTGGTCAGCTACTGAACGCGATATCTACTTATTTGTTGTGTATGTGCGGATATGTAAATTGTGTTTTTTCAAATGGAGCAGGTTGATCTAAAAGGCACGAGCTTAGAGGCATGGATAGTATGATTATGGAGTTTTAAGCGTCAAGAGATTTTAGAATTTGAAGCGAAATCATTGTTAAATGTGAATGTTAAATGTAGTAGAAATTGGGTCCGCCCTTGGACAAGTCCTGCAAAAATCCCATCAATTAAAAACGAGAATGCATATATATTTTTGTATAACTTACCCCCAACCTGTATAACATCGGAATTGCAATAAGGGCTCCGCTAACAATTATATAGTCTAAAATACGTTTTTTGGTCACTTCGTTTACCGTATTCAAATATAAATAAAAGAGAGTTATCCCCGCAACGAAGAAACAATTTAATAATATCACCAATATTATGGCTCTAACGCCTCTGAAAGGCTTGTTCTCAATATCTAAAATAAGGAATATAAAATTATGCAATGTGTTAGTAAGCCTCTCATCTTACCGGACTCAATTATATTATTAGACTGCGGTAGAGCATCTTCGATTATCCCTAGTTCCATTTCGAAGTCTGTTTCAATTCGTGGCTTGTATAAGTAAATTAAAAAGATTATTTTTGGCTGTGACTTGTAATGCAAGGCAACTTTGTTAGTGAAAAAGAAAAACATTAAATAGAATAGCGACAAATTACATATTATTTATATAAGTTTAATGTTTTTTAATGCATCATAAAAGACTTTACGGCTCAATATACAAATTCCAACTTGTCCAAGCTTAAGAACGTTTCCTTGTCACATTATTTACACCTGATTAGCCAAAGGACTGCGACTCACTTTCGCCCAGGAACAAAGCAAAACGAAACAAAGCGAACTCGGCACGCAACAAAGCCCCACTCGAAACGCCTCAATCACGCACCTCTGATTATGCTAATGGATCTGAACCACTGTTGTTTCATAAATATTTTGACAGCTCAAGCACCGGAAACGGACGCTTGAAATTGTCCACAAGTGCCTGTGTTTTAATTGGTCATTTCGTTTTGACAGCTGGAAAACCAGGCCAAGCCACTCGAATGAAAAACTCAACCGCTCTTTTGAATGGCTACTAAATAAATAAGCCTAGGCCGGAAAGTTATTATTTAGCCGATACAGATACACATCAATTCCGTTGGCAGGCCATTAAATTCGAGCTAACGCTGGAGGAATTTGCTGGCAGGAGATTTAGATATTTTTGGAGCGAAATAAAATTGCCAACAAATTTTCGAAATATTACCTCAAAGGCAAAATACATTTTATGTCCAAAACAAAACTGGTTATATTTCTACGAATAAAATGCATACCACTGCCATTGGCATATTGGCAGAGTTCGGTCGCAGATAGATTTGGTTTCGGTTTCGTGGCCTGGCAAATTGAATGTTATTTCTCTTTACTATATGTCCCGATTATGCAACCATTCAACAAACTCTCAATTCACTTTCCATCCAAATCAACGCTGATGGATTGGATTTTAATTCCGGTGCAGATGTCAGCGGGTGCACAAATATTTGCAATCCCAGCCAAATTGTCGCATTGCGATGGGCTTGTTTATTTTTCATGTAATTTTATTTTGTGGTTTGCTTAACTGAAATGCCAGCTCACGTTTATTATTTCCCCATAATTGGTTTAAGCTAAATGCTGAAAATATAATTATCGAATTGTTAAATGACCGACAGTCCCAAATGAAAGTTAGCAACGGAAACTTTTAAATGCCCAAAATCTTCATAAACTTTATTTATTACGGCCAACTCGGAGGGAGTTGAGAGTTAGCTTAGAAGTTATTTGGTTAGTTGGCTCCTTCATTTGTTGCTGCAGCACTGGTCCTTGGGTCCGTTCTTGCAGACGCATTGGCAATCCTTGTTGCAGGCGCAATTGTCCCCGCACTTCTGAGCCGAGCACTGGCAGTCTGTGAGAATTGGAGAACGCATGTCAATTAAACGGCTTGCTGCTGCTTTGAATCACTTACTTGTTCCACAACCCTTGCAAACCATTTTGTAGGTATCTTTGATTCTGAGTTGGTTAAGATGAACTGAACTTCACTTGCTTGCTTGTTAGCTGTTATTGACCCAATCCGGTGACTCCTCCTCTTTTTATACCCATTTAAATGGCCGAACTCGAGCGAGTGCAAAATTACACAAATCCAAAACAAATTTGTTAGTATGACCCGTCTTATCAAGTCGTGTGCAAGCCGCCGGCGAGTGGTTCGCAATTTATCACACGATAGGCAATTTTTTGCGCACGCGATTGCTCGCCTACTCGCTGCACACGACCTTCCTTCCATCGCCTTATCAGCTGACCACACTGCGTATACGTTGCGTATACGCCCCCGTCATGACGCAATCGTTATCCCAGAAGAACACAACTGAAAGTATGAAAAGCGCTGAATGATTAACCAGTGGCTATTTTTAACAAGAAAATATAATAAACCAAACTTCAACACCTAAAATAGCTACAAGCCCGCTTAACGGCGAAAAAAAAATGAAAAAGTAAAACGTATAGGCATTTATGGGAAAGATTAAAGTTGAAACATTTTTATGGGGCTAAAAATTAGTCGCTGAACAAAACCCTTGAATTATGGAAAACTGGGTGAAAAGTTTAACGTTCCACACTAAAGATTAGCTGCTTTTTACTACATTTCTACTTGATATTGCGAAGTTTAGTTAGCTAGTTAGCTAAACTACGAAAAATGTTGAGTACAAACATAAATGCAACAAAATATTTTAAATATTTTGGAATCTAAATAGTTCTTTTTTGTTCTTTTGGAACATGTGAACACGTGTTAATAAATATTAACAAACAAAAAATCCATTGCATTAAAACTTTACAACTTCACAATCTTAAAAACTATAAGTTTAAACTATTATACGTAGTAATTACTGGTTGAGCGATAAATATCCATACAAGCCCCTTAAATTTGTATTTATATTAATATTTCACATTACGTCATTAAAACATTAAAACGTAACAGAAAATGTTAAATGAAAAAAAATTCAGTGGAATTTAGCATACTTTCGGACATTCAAATAAAATCCTTCGACCAAAAACCACTAACGATTCCATTGAATAACAGTTTGCATACTTTTCGGATCAGTCATAAAAAAGAGTAAGAAATACTTGGAATTAAATGCTTTGTTTATTCGCATCCACACCCATAGCGAGTGTCGAGAAAAACTAAATGGATTAACATACATAAATATAGACACAATGGTGCGCATATCGCTAGCATCACAAAAACGTAACAACGACAAATACTAGAGCACAAATTCATGATGTGATGAAGCCAAACTAAATAGCTTAGTCCTTCAACTCGGCGGCTGTGTTGACAAACCCGGTAGTTTGGGTCAACTGCAGTTGGGCCTTCTCCTCGGCCTCCTGGGCCTTCTGCTCGGGCGTTTTGGCCCATTCCTGCAGTTCGCCGGAGCAGTAGAACCAGTAAATGACGCAGCCTATCAGGTAAATGCCCGCCGAAATGAAGAAGATGATGCGCCACTCGTCACTCGTCTGGTTGGTGACCACATAGCCCGTGAGCAGTGGACTGACGATGCCCGGAATGGTGGCGAACGTGTTGCCAATTCCCATCAGCACACTGGCGTGCTGCGGCGCAATATCCAGGTGATTAACCCTGCAAATGAAGTTGTGTATACCAAATCTCGTATGGATTACCCTCGACCAGAAACTCACGCAAATCCAGACCAGGCAAACGCACCCAGGCCCACGGCAATGGTCAGACTCACCACCGACCACGTGGGATCCAGCAGATAGGCCGTCAGCATCATGAACACCGTCTGGGCCAAGAACGCTCCGCAGTTGAAGTTGCGCCTCACCTGAGTGGTCGTCCAAATGCCCTTCACCTGCAGCCAATCAGCCAAATAGCCAGACACGGCCAGCAGGATGCCCATGGCCAAGTAGGGCACCGCCGACAGGATGCCCGTTTTGCCCAGGTCGAAGTTGAGCGTATCTAAAATGGCAAGGTTGAAAGTCATGAGTACACTGTCCAAAAGTTATTCAATTACTAATTTGGAAGTTAATATAAGATTAAAAAAAATTTTAATTGAGTTATCTCAAAAAATATCCTGTAATAGCCAAATATATACATATATAATATATAGCTAAGGAAATGGAAAAATAATAAAAATGTCAGGAAAGGGAAATCCATATAGTCTAGGATCTATTGGAAGCCTTTTTTGCTTAAATACTTTATGCTTGTTACAAATTATAAGTTTTAACATAAATTCAAATTTCATTAAAAATGTTGAGAAGAATATTTAAAAAAAAAATTCATGTAAAAGTAAATGATTAAATACACCAAAATCTGTTGGCTATACTATTTTTCGTGGAAACTCACCCCTGAGGAAGCTGGGCAGTTGTGTAAGCAGGGTGTAGAAGCCCCAGTTCTCCGAGAAGTGCGAGGCCATGATGGCATAGAAGGCCATCGACGTGAAGATGGACTTCCAGGGGTGCTTGATGTTCTTGGATCCCACATAGCCAATGGTCTTTTGTATGTAATCGCACTCCTCCTTCGAGCAGAAGCGATCCAGTTCGGGACCGGCTTTGACGAAAATGAGCCAAATGATATACCAGGCCACGCCGATAGAGCCGAATACGTAGAACACGCTTTCCCAGCCGTATTTGGTGGCCAGAAATCCGGAGCACGGCATCGCCACCACAGTTCCCGCATAGTTGCCAGCAAAGGCTATCGATGCCATTCGAGATCGTTCCAAGGGCGGCGACCAGCGGGCCCACACCGCATGGATTCCGGGGAAGGTGACGCCCTCGAAGAATCCCTCGATGATGCGGACAGCCAGGAACATCTCCAAACTATGCTTGGCGGCCAGCGGAGTGACCAGCGTCAGAATGGCAGTGCTGCCAATTCCAGTACCGAATACCTATGAAATGAAAAGGAAAATTTATATTTTACTGTATATTATTAAAATTTAAAAGATCAAATAGAATTTAGTACATATACAATTTTAAATATTTAAACATAGTTTTATATAGCTCCTTTTTTTTTAAAGGCCCTCAATTACTTGAATTTTCTTAAACATAGAATCAAAAAATATTTAATTTGTTTTAACAAATTTGATTTTAAACTGCTTAATTATCACTGTAATTTGAAAGCAATTAACTTTGATAATTACTACCTATTAAAACGCATTTATCACACGATACAAACTAATTTGTACTTTTAAATGTTATTACACTACAATTAATTTCATATATGTATTGTATACATTGTATTAATTGTATTTACTATTACTTTACTATTTAGGGATTCCCACTTTTATTTTTTTTTAAATAGAAACTTAATTACTTTAAAATTGAGTTTGTTTACTCACAATGTTGCCACCGATCTTGGTGCCAATGTAGCCGCCCAGGAACTGCGTCAGGATGTAGCCATAGAAGAAGGAGCTGAGGATCAAGCCCTTCTGCTTGGAGTCCCAGGGGAAGTCCTGCTCGTAGGACACGTTTCCATCGCCGTCCAGCACTGTTCGGTTCTCGGTCATGGCCACAATGGCCACCGAAAGGTTCACCCGCAATGAGTAGACATTGAAGAATCCAAAGAAGGCCAGTAGCACCACAATGTAGCGCTGTTTGCGCCAGAAGCGCCAGGTGAGTGGTTCGCTTTCCGTGATTTCATTGCTGCAAAATTGATTAATAATTGGTATGGTCAGCAGGGTTCTTCGGCGGGGGGGGGGGGAGGATAGTCATGCAAATGGGGACCCGGCATGTGTTACTTTCCCTTTCGGTTAGCCAACATTTGCTGCAGACGGTTTCGGTTTGGTTGGTATTGCTTTTTTTTTGCGTCTAGCCCGTAACCAGTTTTCAACTTGAGTTATCGACTGGTTTATTCAACCCATATCGCCCCAGGGCCCCGAGGAGTTTTTTTATTTCGAAAAGTATTGTATATATGCATACATTGTAAGTTATGCCAAAATCTATATTTATTATATTTTAAAATATTAAGTGGCAAGCAAGAGCATTATTTGACTTAAGACTCTATTAATATTGTTTTCCACTTGAAAAACATTTTGTTTTGTCTTTAAGTTAAATTGTATTATATACTTTTTTGTCAAATAAAACAAAAACATATAGTGAAAAGTTATGATATTTTTATCAAAATAAAGTTTTATTTTAACTTTTTATACACAAATCTAAATAATTTAACAGAAAAAGGGAATAATTTTATGAATTAAAGTTTTAGCATTATTTATCACAAAGAAAATATAAATAAACAAAATAATTATTAAACCTTTGTTCTGTTTAAAATTCTTATCCGAACAGATTCTTGAAAGGTTTTTTACTTAACTATTACATAAACACATTATTTTTGATTGCATTTCTTGGACACTTAAGTTATGCGGAACCAATTATAAATATGTAAGTAGATTGCCTTGCGGAAAGTACTCACTTATTGTGGTGAACATGGGCCAGGTGCTTTCCGTTCTTTGGAGACTCCAAGTCAGTCATTCTGCCAGCCGATCAACGTGAGCCTGCAATACACTTAATTTGTTTATATAATAGCTTATATGTACAATTGCGGGGCCTGGCAACTCGTGTGCGTGCTGGCGATTCATTAAACTCGAATTTAAGCTGAGTGACCCAACACAACTGCAGTAAAGCCGATGATGAGGTCTCATCCACACAAAAGCGTGTTATAATTTAGCGATTTGTTAGATCTCGGGTAGCACCCCCACTATAAATAGCCGGGCGATCTGTTGCGTGCCGGTCGCTCAATTACAATTGACACTGAACGAAGAGCAAACATTTTCGTAAGCAATTTGTGGCCCACTAATGCGGAAACATAATACGACAAAGATTCGAGATGAGAATAGAAGACTGAGCTGGTCATCCGCCACAGGAACGCATCTTAACTCAATTATTCATTTAGCCTATTAAGCAAATGGTTCGCCAATTGTGGCACGCGAAATCTCGCACAGAACCTCACTCTCACTATGGATGTCATAATCAAATAATTGCGGCGTAAGTGAGCCAAGTCTGGCCGAGTTGATTCGCTTTGATTTGCAAATTGCAGGAATTTTCGGCAATGCCAACACGCGCTGCTTTTGAATGTCAATCCAAATTGAAGCAATTGCACAGCACGCACGTGTTGGAAACTGGTCACTCTGCAATCAGTGAAAGTACTCGCTTCTACACACAAAAAAAAACTTTAATTATGACGAACAAGATGTCAAATTATGCTTAATAAAATCTAATCTTACACGCTTTTAATGAACATTAAAGCATGAACAATACAGACTAACAAGTATCTGGAAGGTAAAAAAAGAAATTCAAATCAAAAAATTAAACCAATAGTTATGGTTAAAAACACGAAAAGGATTAAAACTTCTGTAGGCATCCTCACATTATTAAAAACAAAAAAATATTAAAAGCAAAAATATATTAATTAAAATCATGTCTTGCTGATAAACCGGCATTGGAACTTAGAAACATTTTTTTGTTAGGTGTATAATTACTTGTTGGTCAGAGATAGTAAGCTTACAAGCTGCCTATCAATATAAGTTTATGACAACTACCGTGCAATCGACTGTTATAAACCAAAGGAAAGTGCTTCCCGAAAGTTTTCCATACTATCAAATATTTCCACAAGTAGTATCATAAAACAACTCGTTCGCCGGGTTAAAACCCTAATTGATATTTAATGGACTTATTTTTGATGGCTACACCTTCAACCTTTGTTTATGCTTCTAGATTAGTGATCATAAAATGATATATATAGCTTGGTTTGGTCTTTTATTACGACATGGTTATCTTCAGTGACTGCAAATTTCATTTTTCGGGCGCAGAATAACAAGAAAACCTGCTGAGATTTTGGTTTTATGGAGTGCCATTTTGGGTATAATAAATTCCTGCCTCGGCTGATGGGTTTGCCTGGAGCAAACCTTTTCAACAGCTCCATAAGAAACATTTTGCCTCTGATAAGTAAAAAATATTTACCTTTTTGCCTTTAAAAAGTTCCTACCAAAAAATAGTCATGAAAAATGAATTACACGTGATAAGCAGCCATTAATCTAAATTGTCATATAAATCTAACGAAAATATGGAGTTATTGTTGCAGAAAAACGCTCCCCAAGCACTTGTGTTTTGCAAGAACCAGATGTGTAACTGCTGCATTTAATCATTAAAATAACGTCAATAAAAATATTATCACACTTGTTTATCAACAATTAACTCAAATTGCCCTAAAAGTCTAATACAAATATATTCCATATTTTGATACAAACGCAACTGAAAACACATGCGATTTTCAAGAAACAAGTTTGTAACAGCTGCATCTTATAAAAATGACGGTAAAATGTCTTTAATTAAAACTTTATCGAAGGCAGGTGAGCAAATAGAAAGTTCAATAAACACCAGCACATATGCACGAAAACACTTTGTAGAAATTCAAGAAACTTTTAGACTGCGAGACAAACTTTTGCGAGGCTAAAACGCACCGATTAAAGTTGATATTTTAGGGCACCTCTGGGAACTGGAACCCAAACTGCTTGCTCTGTTGTCGATCGATCCGTACGACTGCACTGCTTGCCGCAATTTGGGAAAGGGGCTCGATCAGGTGTGAAGTCGCCGGTAGCTGGCAGTGGACTGAACCATCCAGCGGCTTTCGCTTTAACAGCTTAACTCAGCAGCAGCGGCAGCTCGATCAAATCAGCTGAGTTTTTCGGGAGCTCGGCGGTGGGAGCGAGAGCTGGGATTTCCATCCCACTCCTCATCGCTCATCAGTTCAGTTAACTTCAATTGAAACACTGGCACTGCCAGGTAATAAAGCCAGAGCTAAAAAGAGAGAAAGAGGCAGGAACCTTGACGTGATTAGGCCGCCAGCACTGATAGTGATCGGCATAAAGCTTATCGTTTGATTAGGCGGAATATGTGGCGCTTGTAAAGATAAATTGTTTCGACAATTTCAGCGACCAGCAAGCGTTCTGTTGCTTAATTGAATCTGCGAGATTTTTGGACAATTTCGGTAGCTACATTTAGCACAAAGAAAATAAGTGAAAAATGTGGTCTTCGGAAGGTTACTTAATCTTACATAAATTGGAAAAATTGTTTGCAATCAGCTTAATTAAGGTAATAAGTTCTGAGTTCAGGACTTAATCTTACATATAACTAATAACAGGTTAAGAACTCGTTTAAAAGTAAAATTCATAAGTGGGTTTTATCAAGTGAGTTTTTATATAAACTGAACTTACCCATTAAACTATGTAGTGTTTATTCTGTGCAGAAAAGGGCTTATTTATCTAAAACTTAACATTTTTGTTCTAATAATAATTATTTTCTGCTAATAAGTTTATCATGTTTAAAAAAAAGTTATTTTTACAAAAATGTTTCCTTAATTTAATTAACACATTTAATTGAATTTATTATCTGGTTTTGCCGCTGCCAATAAATTAGCAAACATAATTGATTTTATTTTCGCATCGTGTAGAAGGGTTAAATTAATTAAGTCATTTATTAGATACTATAAATAGCATTCCGTTATTACCTCAAAAGAAATTTCTTGGTTTAATTTTAATTTTTCTCTATATAACATTGTAAGTAACAACGGTGCAGTAAACAAGTCGGTGCCAAAAGCAAATTAGCATGCAGCTCACCACAGAAATTAACAGTTAGGGATCGGGCACGACTATTCTGTGGCCTACGCCTTAACTAATGTCATCTATTTTCATTGGCAAGTGCAAATTGTTTGTGAATTGCCCGTAAACAAAGAAGTTGCATAAATATCCAGTTCAAAGTGGTTTATTAAATAATCCTAAGATATGATTTTTATGAAGCCACTAATTGTCAAAGAGTTGATTTTATAGGGACCTATAGGTATTAATGGGGTATTATAGACCACGGGGGCGTTGTTGATGGCTAACAGCGGCAAGCAGTGCGATTAACAGAGGTAAGCAGGTAGCTTTATCGGCTCTGCTTGACCCATAAAGTATACATAACGTATACGCCTCGTTGGATCGAAATAATTGTTATTATTTGCTTTCCATATTTTTGGGAAAAAATTGCGACGATATATATAGGAACAAAAACGTGCTACACAAGGAAAAATATGAAATACAGATATTTTACAGAAAATTGGTCCTCACAAAATTAATTTTTAAACGCCTTATCAAACATTAAAGTCAACGTTTATCCCTTAAAAAAGATTTCTAAATAATGAAATTATCCAAAAAAAAAAGATTTTATTAATTATAAGGTAAATTGATAATATAAATATGCAATATAAAACGATTGAACATGAAGTCGTTTAAATCGTTCTCTGTGCACCAATCGAAATATGAAAAAGTTGCGAATTGGAGTTAAGCCTTCTGCTATGCGTTTTTTCGGGCACGGACATATCATAAACAATTGCCGCAGTCACACGTGCTGCAGAACAAATAAACAAAGTGTTGCAGCTCAATTTACATGCTGCGAGCGGCAGCAGCACGTGACAAAAACACTGCAACATCCCGGCCCCGAATATTGGCAAAACAAAAGCAAACACAACTATAACAGCAACATGTGGACATGTTGAATTAAAAACGGGAAGAAAATAACCAGAATTGATTGCTCGAATGACAACTGCCAATATCTGTCGGCGCCAAGAGCCCAAGGATATGTGTGTACTGCACTTAATTGATTTTTGGGGTCTGCTCGGACCCAAATTCCATATGCGGGTTAAGTGAACGCCCAGGGCGATAATTTCACACCTCGATGCAAATCGAATCCATTCCGTCTTGTCACGACTCACTCGCTTTAAAACGGGGGCCGGGTTGTTTGTCGCAAAAAGGGGGCCAAAACCCGTTCCGGAATCAAGGCAGGCACTAAGCATAGCCAAAAAAGGTAACAAATTGGACTCGCAGCTAAAATCCCTATTAAATGCACCATTTGCAAGGGATTTTCGCTTATTTTCCACTGCTCCTCGGACCAGGTGTCGAATTTGCTGCTCGGCGAAAGCTTGGCATTCGGCGACTCCATTGTTTGCGCCTTTGTGTGCTCGCTGCTCTGCCAAATTGCATTTTAATTGTGCGCTCAAAGCAAACGCAGCTAAGTGCAAACAATTTCAGATGAATGCGCGACAAACAAAACCAGAAAATTGCTCGCCATGCTTAAAGCGAGATGCAGATTTTCTTTCGCATTTTGAATTCGCTACACCTTCAAGTCGAAAAGAATTGGGCAAAGCGAACAACGTTCCAATGCAAATTTGTCTTTTGACTTTGGCTACGTGAGCCTTTAATGGTTTTTCTGCTAGTAACTTTAGCAGAAAACTCGAAACTTTTCAACTTCCTGGGCCGTCCCCTTTGATTTCGAGTTGACAAAAGTTCGCACAGAGTTGAGCGCATATTACAAAGGTTCCGTTCTCGGACACGGAGGCAGTGGATGGTGTTCTCCGTTGCTCGTATTCCCGGAGCCAGGATCTGGGGCGTCTTGTGCCGTTGCGCTTTTTCCTACTTGAAATGCAGCAGCTGCTGTAGCATTGAGCGAACTAAAAGCACAAGTCTTAAACCTCTTCGATTCCCAGTCGCCGGCAGTTGGACATTTCATTTCCATTTCATTTGGGCACACGTAATTCCCCAAAGGTTAACGCAACTCCACTCTCTTCGGAAGCTGTTTAAATATTTCAGCTGGCTGCATAGCCAAACTTTGCCTAATTGCCAACTAGATAGCGCCGTGAAATGGGCTACACCGAAAAGAGGTCACAAGCCAAAGCTTCAATTGACCAACTTAAAGCGTACTGATTGGAAAGATTGGTACAGTCGTTTTTTATACTTTGGCAAGAATTTTCATACATTTTATAAATTCAAATCTACCATTTAAGTAACGCTCACAGCTCAAATATTTAAAGATATGTTGATGAATAAAAAATGAATTATATTTTTAAGTAATGTGAATATTAAAAAAAACTTTCAGAGCCAGATATGCAATTATCAAGGTACTCACTTGGTCTCAAAAATAATCATATTAGCTATACAACAAATTTAACATATGTAATAAACGGGTGAGATTTTGTTAAAAAATCCCTCGTATTTGACACCTACTTAGAGAGGGCTCAAGAGACGCCAAACACCAGAGGTTAAACTCATTTAGAATCGTACATTTGCATCCATGTTTTAATGTCATTTGATATGTCCACGAGCTGAAAGCTTTTTAATGACCATAATTTAGCTGCATCAGCTACTGTTGCTGCTGTACAGAGAACACGCATCCTGGGTCAAGGATGCACATGTGCCGGCTATATATCCACTGTATATAGCCGGGGCAAAGATGGGGTAACCTTGCGCATAATTAAGCTAGGAGCACGCAGCAACCGCAACAGCAGCAGCGTCAGAGACATCCGCATGGTTAATCATACGCCACGTTGGCTCCGAAGTCTTTGAAAAATTTATTCAGCAGAAGCCGAAAAGCCTTTCAGCACTAACAAGCAGGCACAACGACAACGGCAAATATTGTGACAATAGCGAAAACAAAAAAGAGGAGGGGAAGCCGGCAGTACAGAGCCCGCTTCTGTAAATATAGAATTTTATAATAACAAAGCACGTAGCAGGTGCAATTAGTGTGCAAATAAGCGTTTATTTGCCTTCCCAGAGACAGACAGGACAGTCGAGACTGGGAAAAAGACCGCTGGGGGCTTATATAACTGACCTCGTTTGCACCCCCCGGCGAAATTAGAATTCAATTCAGTTCAAGCAGCATTGTCACCGGGGAGCCATATTCAAAAAAATAGCCCAAGATTATGTCAAGTGAAATTTGCTGGCCCATAAATCAAGCAACGCTTACAACCGAACAACAAGCAACATTCGTTGCATGCAGCATCCATTGCAGCTACTGATGCAATTGCAGCCAAAGCAAAAGCAATGGCAAAAGCAGCAACTCAGCTCACTCAGGGGCGGCTAAACAACATTACTCAAGGCGCCGAGGGCACGAGGACATGCAACATCTAACACACATGCCACACGAGGCAGGACAAACAAGAAAACTAAACCCTGACCAGTTGGGGACCTGCTATTTGCCCGCATGCAAAGTGCACTGACACTCGTACACCATCCACTCACACACCCACCAACACACACATACGGCTCTCAGGAGCAGACTCAATTGACTGCGAGATGGCAACAACGTTTTTATTCTCTCTGTACCTCTTTTGCCTGCCTCGTTGTCCCTCTTCTCTTACACCGGAAAAAATTATTCACCAATGCTTAATGCCATAGCAAGCACTAGGTCTAAAACCAAATTGATTTGAAATCAAACCGTTAACCAAATACAGTTGAAAGAGATTACTAAGGCATCCTGAATAATGAGATCTTGTTTAAAATTTCCAGATTTTAGTCTTGTCTAAGGGGCCATCATACAAGTCCAAGGTATATCTAAATTATTTGACAAAGGTGTCTAAAAGTATTCCCCCAGTCTCTTAGACTTAAAATATATGAAAACACATTTATAGAAACATTTAACAAAAATTCGTGGAATGCCTGTATTCTTAACCAGAGGTTGAATTATTAATTATAATAAAGATTTAAAAACTTAAATATTAAGATTTAATTTTTTGATAGTAAGCCCAATAAAATTTTCCTAATAAACTACAAATTATACATCTCATATGAGGGAATG